CACAAACTTTCTGCGCAAGCAGCTCTATTAGACTGTACTGGCTAAGGAACTTTCTAGATTTCTTCTTTGAAAAATATCTCCAGCTCCTTCGGTCAAAATTGTGTACATTACCGAAGGGATATAGAGGCATTATAACCCACCCCGTTAGTTCCGCTCAGCTCGTTCACTCAGTTAGTGCTGGTACAGGCTCTATTTTCGTCTTGACCCATACATTCCTGATCGTTCTCAATATCGTTACATTGTTGATATTTTATTGTTATTATTCTTATAAACGGTTATAGCCCAAACCAGAGATTGTGCTTTGTGGCAACCTCAAAAGTTCAGCGTGGTAAACTCGTAGAAAGTGGAGCACTCTATTTCGAGATAGTGATTGTTTGGTGCCGAAGACATACTTGAAAACCCATATTTCACTGACGAACTAACACAGGAGGATGTCGTTATTGATAACATTTATTTATATTGTTGAGATTACACGAGATTGATTTGAGATGTTTATTCGGCTAACGTTTCGACATCTTCGTTTTCATCAGAACCGGCGATCCTTGTCGATGGTCCACAGTTGTTCCTTTTCTCGATGTAGAGTCTTCGTCTCGCATCGAACCGGCTCTTCCTTAGTTGAGTATGTCGAATAAGCTAAACACACCCGGCGACGCTCTTTTATACAGGGCGGTTGTTGTTGATAGGATTATGAGTTGATGATGACTTAACAATAGTAAACAACAACACCCAACAAAATAAACAAGTTTTGATTATTATAGTCCCGAGGTTAAGTGACGGTCGGTTTCAAAACTATTGTTTTGCTAATTCGATGTTTTCCTTGAATAAGCAGACACAGGGTTGTTATTATAGAATTTATTAGGATACAATAGCCGACGTTTCGGCGGCCTCGCCTTCACAACCTGGAAAGGTCAAATTAAGATGCGATCTACCCAGCCAAACACTTTCATAACCCCAGCAGATAAGACTTAACAAATAAATTTGTATTCGCATAAGAAACAGGTTCATTTAAACACCTACCGTTTATTTTTTGTAAGTATTTAAGTTAGTTGATGGGAAGCAGCCGCACAGAGTAATATACGGGCGATAACTGTGCCTGTGTCAGGTCATTGGATCAGCCTGAGGGATGGAGCCAGGTGTGATGACAAGACACTCCTCCTTGCGGTTCATTTTTGAGTTTTTGGAGTTGATCCAAAACGCTTCAAGAGTTTTACGCGCTGATGTTTTCGATTCCTGCGTAAGGATAGTGACTCCTACTTCAACATCTTCTCGGTTGTGTTCCCGCATCCTATGCGCGCCTAGTGGAGTGTTTGGTTTTAATTTAGATTTACCGACTAGGTGTCCTTTTATGCGGACGCAGAGCGGTCTACCCATTTCTCCAATGTATTCGTCCTCGCAAGCTCTACAAGAGATCAGATAGACTGTACCCGAACTCATGCAATCACCCTCTCTACCATTTGGGCAAATTATGCAGTTTTTTGTTGTACATAGACGGTCGTATAAGCGGTTGCGAACTAGCTGGCGTCTTAGAATGTCCGATGGTATTTCTATCACTCTTACGGAATTCTCTAAATTGACCCTTATTAAGCAATGTTTTATGGCTCCACTTATTTCGTTTGAAATGACGCTAAAATTATCGCTCTGGGGCGTGGTTTTTGCTCTATGCCTCTGCCGAGAAGCTACAGTTTCGTAACCATTTGAAATGACTATTTGGCGCGCCAGTTTCGAGGATTCCTCACTCTACTCTCTACCTGTGCACGCGCTGGCGGCGGTTCGAAACATATTTCTTATAAGCGCCATTTAAGTGTGTGAGTGATGAGAGGAGAGGTAATGAACTTACTATATTCTATATTCACTTACTATTCACTATATTCTTACTGCTTGGCTTTCGACACCATTTCGTGATGTAGCCGTCTTCAGATAGGTTAATTTAATTAGATTTAGATTTTGAGGTAGGAGTCACTATGCTCACGCAGGAATCGAAAACATCATCGCGTAAAACTCTTGAAGCATTTTGGGTCAATGCCAAAAACTCAAAAATGAACCACAAGGAGGAGTGCCTTGTCATCACACCTGACGCCATCCCTCAGGCTGATCCAACGACTTGACACAGGCACAGTTATCGCCCGTGTATTACTCTGTGCGGCTGCTATCCATCAACTAACTTAAACACTTACAACAAATAAACGGTAGGTGTTTAAGTGAAGCTGCTTCTTATGCGAATACATATTTATTTGTTAACTTTTATCTGCTAAGGTTACGAAAGTGTTTGGCTGAGTAGATGCTAAGGTTATGAAAGTGTTTGGCTGAGTAGATCGTATCCCAATTTGACCTTTCCAGGCACTGAAGAAGGCGAAACCGCCGAAACGTCAGCTATTGTATCCTAATAAATTCTATAATAACAACCTCGTGCCTGCTTATTGAAGAAAAACATCGAATTATCATTCAATGCCGAGGTTAACAGAAAGTTGGTCTTAGGTATTGTTTTGCTATTCGCCACGTGCTAGCTAACAAAATACCGACTGCTGCAAGGTGGATTTCGGTTGAAAAACAAGCTATCATAGACTGATAATCATATCAACAGCAACCGCCCTGTATAAAAGAGCGCCGCTGGGCGTGTATGGTTCATTCGAGATGCTCAGCTGAGGAAGATCCGGTTCGATGCGAGACGAAGACGCCACATCAAGAAGAGGAACAGCTGTGGACCATCGACAAGGATCGTCGGATCTGACGAAAACGAAGACGTCGAAACGTTAGCCGAATAAACATCTCATATCAACCTCGTGTAAGCTCAACAATATAAACAAATGTTGATTATTATAGTACCGAGGTTAAATGATGGTCGGTTTCAAAATTATTGTTTTGTTATTGATAACGTGGACGAGGAATATGACCGACTTTTTCAACTCCTTCATGTTAGCACTATGAATGGTGAGAGTTCGAAAGTTACCAAGAGAAGTCTCTGTCCAGAAAAACTTGAGTTGATACGCCGATAATTCGCACGAGCAACCGATATTAGCATCAACATAAAAGGATAGGTTCGACAAGGAGATACGATCACTCCAAAATTGTTACTCACGTTATCATGGGAACATTGCAATAGGACAACAGAGGAGTGAAAATGGTCGGTAGTTACACCATCTTCACGCTGCTGATTATGCTGTTCTTATAACATTACGCGGAATCAGTATTGGCTGATGTCGACAACGGCTGTGGAAAGAATTCTCTTGCACTAAATGCCACAAAAACGACTGTATTCAGGAACGGATTGGTTTCCTTTGCCTTTTTAACGCTCAACGGTATGAATATCTCCGAATGTTTCATCTACGTCTATCTAGGCCGGAAAATCAACGTAATGAACAACTTAGCTCCAGAGTTGAGCAGGACGAAGATAGCAGCTCTGCAATTCATCTTTCATGCTGCTTTCTAGCTTCACTTAAGAATTAGAATAACGATTTTCATTAAACTCGGGAAAATAGCCAATTAGTTTCCACATGAAATTGGTTCTTGTGATATTACCACGCTATGTGTCAACGAATGAAGCACCGAGTGCTACAGAGCGTATTGATCGCCAAGTGCAGATTATACTGGATGGTGGGATTCGACCAGCAACCGTCCTATTCGAAAGGACATTGCTGAGTGAAGTCCACACCTATGCTGTATTCCGTCCTCTGAATTCTCATTCGATATAACAACGAACAGCTACATCGCTACAACGATCGGCAGTCGACCATCGACTGGGATCAATGTGGCTCCGAAGAAGGTGAAGGCGCCTTGACTTTGCTCTCACTGAGGCTTTTCGAATGCACGGCAAGATTATTCTTTGGTTGATTATGTCATATCTAATCGTGGTTTATTTAATTAGAATACTACTACGTTGGTTTGCTTCCTCTTTTTCTTTCATGTTTATTCTCTTTTATCACCTTCTTAGATGTCAACGTTCGCTCTCCGCTTTTTCTGTTCTTCCTTTTTCCTGATTTTGATAGACCTTGATTACATACCTCAGTTGATAAGGCACACTGATTCGAACTTCCTTGTATTCTATCATTATTTCCTGGTTGCTTGCATAGTGTTTTTTTCCAGACGTATCGGTGATATGAAGTGGTCTAAAGCGTCTCCTGTCATTTACATTGCAGTCGGCATTGTGATAGGACTCTCCCTTTCTCACATTTCTTCTCCAGAAAAATATGAATTCGTCAAGGTACGAGTGGTTTTCATCGCTTTTTTTCCACATGGAAGCCGTAACGAACTTACAAATGATTTTCGTGGATAATCGACCTGAGTGTAGAAGACAAAATTTAAATACAGCACTAAAGTAAAATTAGTTAGAGATTTGATTCGACGTCTACTACTTTTATGCCTTTAAAGACGTCCAATTCGAATGTTTGGAACTTAGACGGACTGTATAACTTATGGAAATATTGGCCAGTTTTTAAGTGTGGACTTCCAAATGCCTCCCAACTGCTTATCGCCTCATTGTGGCTCGGAGGTGTTGCTGGGTGTCGGACTGCCATGTTGAGCAGCGAAGGACTCACTCCGTGGTACAGTCCCTCAAGCTGAGAAGGAGTTCGGCATTTCCATTAAGAAGCCTAGCTAAGAGGAAATCAATACCAAGATCCACCACCGACATGATGTCAAAGTCGCATGGTGGCAAATCTCCTTCTGATCCACTAGGACTGCGACTGCCTGTCGTGGTGAAGACCTAGGGCAGACTTTGACCAGCCTGACCTCGCGATTCCTGAGAAACGTAATGGCTTAGTCAGCAAATCCCCGAAAAATGAAGAGTCTGCTGGGACCCATACAACCAGTGAGGCCAGGCCATTCAAGTATCAAGTAAGTAAAACTTCCAAATGGCCTCTTTACGTTAAATGCCGAAAATAATGATTTCCATTGCTATTGCTGTAGGGCGTTAACAGGTTTTATTGGAAAAGCTTTGTATGGTTATCGACTTAGTCGTAATTAAGTATAATTTCTTTTTCTCTCAGTTCTCAAGTTCGAGCGGAATGTTGCCAGTGCGACCCCATCGACATGGTTATCAGGATGCACACGACGAAAATGAAGTTTTTAACGAGGACGCCCTCGAAAAGGCTATTGAGTTCCATGGCAATAGCTCCATTCATCACCATGGAAGTAAAGCCACCATCCTTTGTCTGGTTTCTCTTTTGCTATGAAAATTTCGTCGATCTCTTCAAGTCGGAACTCATGGGCAATTTAACAATCTCATGTGCAGAGGTCCTTATAATGAAATGCTTTGAAATGTCATAGAATTTTACAGCACTCAAATTTATCGAGTTTTGAAGGTGACCGTGAAGTTGCCGACATGATTGCCGAGAAAGTACGGGTCTTTTGTTGGATTCTCACCGGTAAGGAGAACCATCAAAAACGAGCGATTCACGTAAAGGCAACATGGGTTAAACGATGCAACAAGTGAGAAAGCTTTGATCAGTTTACTGCACAAGGTTTACTCATTCTTTATAAGTGAGGGACTCTCTTGAGTTAGCGCCATACCTTGTTTTCAGTAGTCTTCTGTAAAAATGTAAAATTGAATTATAGATATCTCTTCATGTCATCAGAAGATGATTCTGAACTGCCAGCTATTAATCTAAACGTGTCTGAAGGACGTGATCATCTTTGGGCGAAAACAAAAGCAGCGTTCAGATACATTTACGACCACTATTTGGTAGCTTTTGCGCAACTTGTCCGTATTCGTCATTTTCTTCGTAAACTTTTATAACAAAGGCTTTTCAGAACGATTATGACTGGTTCTTAAAAGCCGATGACGACACCTACGTTATTGTGGAAAATTTAAGGTCAGATCACTATCTCTATATTTCACCGTTTTCTCGATGAGTAAACACGTGATTGTTATCACAGTCTTTATTTATAATAGTCGACGTTTAAGCGGATTTCGCCTTCTTCATGGCGCGGAATGGTCTAGTTGACTACGATTTAGTCATTGAGTTCACTAACCCAAAATATCGGCTTTTTATAAGCCCTGGCATAAATAATGAATATACCCACTATTTCGGACGCGCGTGGCACAGTGGTCGGAGGCGCCCTGCAACACACACGTGGAATTGATCTCCGTGCCCATGGCCCACCAAACCCTCCATCCCTCGTCTTCTTCGGAGCGAGCCTGAGCCTGGACGTATTTTGTGTAACACTAACCTCATAATTCGTAAAAGCTACTCATCGTGATTCACGTGGGACTATGAGTGAGAGCCACCCAGGTCAAAAAAAAATTAGTTTGGGAAAGGCGCCAAATCACATGTGGTATGAGGGTATTTGTCTTCCTGGTTCATCTTTGGACTTTTGAAATTTATACAAAACTCCTCAAGAGTCTTGCGCGTCAATGTTTTCGATTGCTGCGCGAGGATCCAGGCAGTCGCTACAAAATTATCACCGGTGTGCTTTTGTGCCCTATGTTAGCCTAGAAGAGTGCTTTGTCGAATCTTAACTTTCCCACCTAGATGTTTTTTAAATAGATCCTCTGTGATTCAGTAGCTGCATAACAATGTTTTGAGTCACTTCCACCGAACCATACTTAGTGCCCAACAATATGTACTATTATTATTTCTTTATCATACTGCTATAACACTGTTCTATAAGATATTTTACTTATGCTAGTGCTTTCTATTGCTCTCTATGTTATCTCTTTCTACCGATCGTGTTATTGTCTATGTTTTTTATACCAAAGGTCTCATTATCGCCATTTCGTAATTACTGCATCATTACTGTTATGGAGGCTGTTTAGTTATCCAAGTTTGGGAACTAATGCTGCGATAACAAGGACCTGCGTGATAGGAATTATCGCACGAACGACCCACTTCAATTTAGTGTGTAGAGTATTTCTAGTGATTTTCTACCGATTTTGTGTGTGGAGGGTGTTTATGATGACTTTCTGATTTCGTTTTCAATAATTTCGGATTTTTTTACACTGCGAATGAAACATGTTTCCTATGGTTGTGTTACTGGGGCTATGAAGCTATATGGGTGACTATACTGGGTTCAACTTGGTCCTACCGGGCTCTGAAGAAGACGAAATCGGTCTAAACGTCAGCTGTTGTACACTGTTGTACAAAGCAATTGTGTTATAACTATGTCTTGTCTGCTCATCAAGAAAACAGTGAATTACTGATCAAAGCCGAGGTTAACAGAAAGTTGATCGTGGAAATTAATATTCTTATCGTCATTTTTTCGCATATCGAACTTTGCAACTTAGTTTAGGTACATGCTTCTTTCCCATTCACCTGATCAGCCCGTTCATTTCGGCTCCAAATTCAAGTTTTTTGTTGAAAAAGGATATCATAGTGGTGGAGCGGGATACGTGCTCAGCCGTGAGGCATTGAAGAAGTAGGTGCTTTTGAGGTTTACTTGTTTCTGTGTCTCTATGGTTTACCAGCGATATTATTACTACACCATTCACTTTAATGTTTGTCTAAATGAGCAGGTGAAGCTATCGATGACAATTTTATTCCTAAGGTTCATCAATGAAGGGTTGACGGACCCGAAAAAGTGTTCTCCTAATCACGATGGAAGCGAAGACGTAGAAATAGGGAAGTGTTTGGAGAAAATCGGAGTGGTGGCAGGGGATTCACGTGATAATAATAGCCATCATAGGTATACATTCAGCATGAGCATCGGATAAAAACTTAGTTTTACAGTTTTCTTCTGTTTTTCTCACGTAGTCCTTCCTGGCTACAACGAAGAATAATTCCTTAGTGCTTCTCTCATTCTGAATGATTTTGTTTTCTGATGCGACGTTTCCTTATACAAGAATTCGAACGAGCTTGTTTCAGATTTTTTCCATTCATTCCTGAAAATTATCTAGTACCTGGTCATTTAGATAAGTCATTTTGGTTTTGGAATTACACCTATTACCCTATTGAAGAGGGTCCGAACTGTTGCTCAGGTGAGTGTCCTGATGTTGCCTTTGTTCCAACCTGAATAGAATTGCGGTTACGTTTTCGAAATAAATTAACTAAACTTGCACGGCGTCAATCAGTAGTTGAACAGCGTTTTTCTGTCCCTGTTTGAATTTCTCCACCGCTGTGCTTTTAGATTATGCCATATCATTCCATTATGTGAACTCACCTTTTATGTACGTACTTGAATACTTGGTTTATCGTCTTAAACCTTTCGGCGTTGATCGCTATCTGAGGTTTGCTATTGCGTGTTCTTGGATTTATGTTCCTTTTTCCTGAAATGTTGAGGTGCAGTAGTACAGAATTTCCCTACTAGGCTCGTTCTAGGGTTGGATGGAATGAGACCAAATTAGAAGCTGCCTATGCCTCAGCTCGCCTAGCAATGGGTCCGGACGATGTGTATCGAGACGTGAAAATACAGCACTGAAAATACAACATTCCCAATATTTTTGCACCGAAATTTTCTGGATGTCGTGAAAAATACATTGTATATTTGTCTATGGCATTAACGTCTTAGTCACTTTTTGATGTCCGCATGTCCGCTCACTCTTTCTTCCTTTGGAGTGTATGCTAATTAAGGCAGTTTTAACACTAACGTCACTTCTATAACGCTGGTATTTGCAAAACTCCGGACCGCAGGTGTCTGCGGTGGGGAACGAACGCGCTATTGTCCCTTCCGGGGAGTAACGCATTCACCACCACATTATACGGCTGCTTCGTTTCTCCTATCTCTCAGCTAGTTTTATCGATCTTTTGCCATCAGCAATCACCCGTCAGCGGTATTGATCTGGGGAGCCTAAATCGGGATTGAACCCAGTTAAACTGAGGCTGTAGTTATAATCACAATCTTAACCTTTTTATTTACTCCCTATTCTTTTTAACGGCAGGGTATGTTGCGAAATATAACTTCTACAATGCTGGTAAAAATAAAAAGGTTAAGATTGTGATTATAACTATAGCTTCAGCTTAACTGGGTTCACTGCCGATTTGGGCTCCCCATATCAATTCCGCTGACGGGTGATTGATGATGGCAAAGATCGATAGAACTAACTGAGAAACAAGTACCCGCACGTTGTGGTGGTGAACGCGTTACTCCCCGGAAAGGACAATAGCGCGTTCGTTCCCCACCGCAGACACCTGTGGTCCGGAATATCTCAGCATTATAGAAATTATATTTCTGCCGTTTAAAAGAATAGGCTGTAAATAGAAAGGTTAAGGCTAACGTCACTGTTTTTAAGACATTAAGATAGCGATTAATTTGTCTCACAAACTGTTCTGGATGAGCTGACACGTTGTTGTCGAGGTATTTAAGTTCAAAACGGCTATAACTATGGAATGTCTAATATTTTGTTGCCTTCTGTGAGCTCTATTCGAGTTATCGCATTCCCTGAAAAGCTAGATAACAAAAGATCGCCTTTAGAAGAGAGTGAATTCACTGAAATGTTTACTGTTTCAAGCCAAAACGTGTTTACAACGGTGGATCAGCTCAAAATGAACACGCCATGGAAATTGTAGGTTTTTGATCATTGATGAGGTTAAGTGGATGCCGTTGTTTGATTTTTTGCGAAATATTGTCGAGTGATGACGTCATTTTTCTACTTTCTTGAGGACGTCGCCTTTCTGTGTTCTCGTCCACGACTTTTAGTTTAAGGAATGTTTTTGTTGTTTCGTTGTTGTCTTGTCAAAATCAATATCACCATGTGAACAAGTGCCATCATATTCTTTGCTATGAGTGGTACTATTTCCATTATCGTGTTATATAAATGTGATATGTCTGTTGTATCTACTCACCAATGCAGCGTTCTACAATTCACTTTGTTGGTTCTCTTCGAAGCTTTCATTTATTTATATTTCAAACGTAAATTGGCCACTGGTTTCTTTGTACTTATTTCATCCAACGTCATACTGTCCTTGAGGAACTCTTTAGGAACATATGTTTTAAGATCAGTTATAAAGTGAAAGCGGTTATCCAGGCCTTCCAGATCCTCTACGCCCGTTAGTTGCTATCGGACTTGTTCGGGAGCTGCTCACTCTCTCGTTCTACGTCTTAACACTTCGGTACGACTATGCCAGCTTTCCCGAGACAGCTTGACCAGGATTCATAAAAGTGATCAACTGTAATGAAGAGAGCGAGTATGTGCGAAGACGACGTGAAGGTCTTCCTGCTAGCTACGCGGATCTTTTAGATGCTGTAATGATCGACCAGCATTAAAGTTGGGTAACTAGACATTTATATACATAAATACGATGTTTATAACATAATGGCAACGATAGAAAAGTGGTGCCATAAAAATTATGCAAGTTAAAGTTATGAGATGCTATGGCTACTAGCGAAGTGAAGTTAATAACGAAATATTGGCAACGGAACATTATTACACCATTAATACAATAATAATAGCAATAATAACAACATGAAAATAACGGCTGGTTAGGCATGGACAATGCCGCGCTCGCACTATCCGCTGGCGGTGTGACGGCGGGGGAGACACTATGCTGAGGCGGAGCGGGTTGCAGACGGGCCGTGTNNTAATAATAGCAATAATAACAACATGAAAATAACGGCTGGTTAGGCATGGACAATGCCGCGCTCGCACTATCCGCTGGCGGTGTGACGGCGGGGGAGACACTATGCTGAGGCGGAGCGGGTTGCAGACGGGCCGTGTATTCGGTTGAGATAAGAACCATCCCATATATAATGCTGAGATATTTGCAAAACTCCGGACAGCAGGTGTCTGCGGTGGGGAACGAACGCGTTATTGTCCTTTCCGGGGATAAACGTGTTCACCACCACACCATGCGGGTCCTTACTAGCTGAGAGACAGGCGGAACGAAGGACCCGCATGGTGTGGTGGTGAACGTGTTACTCACTGGAAAGGACAATAGCGCGTTCGTTTCCCACCGCAGACACCTGCGGTCCGGAGTTTTGCAAATATCTCAGCATTATAGAAGATGGGATCACTAAATTTCCAATCATTATATGGAATATACAACGGCAAAGTTCCATATCAACATTTTTCGCTTCACAATCCTCGTTGCGGATCCTAAAATCCCCGCTGGAGAAAAAGTACTTGGAATTTTTCCTTGTGAGGCTTGAGTTGCGATAGATAGCATGAAAAAAGACAGCTCTAGGACACCATTATATCACCGCCCACTTTCTTACATCTTAAAGCCACAATTTACATCTAGTGTTCGCAAGACATATGGCATCCTGCCTTCAACAGAACGTGTAGAGAATTCCTCTATCAGATGGAAAATTCT